TGTCACTAACCAAACATAGCCATTTCCAGTCATCTTCAGATACGATGCATTTTGATACACAACCAAGGCATCTTCATCACTGTTCAAACAGAATAAATAAAAGCCATGAAAAATCTACTTTTTTACTCAAGGGGGAGGGGAGGGTACTCAACAAAGGGAAGGTTCCGCCAAACCCTTACTCTTTTATATACCTTTTTTTTTTTTAAAAAAAAGATGCCCCTTTCTATACACATCCTATTGACTTTGGTATCCCTTTCACATACCTAGTTTAGAACCCTGCATCTCTTTTAAATACTTTAAATGCACTGTGTTTAAAATATGAATACATCACAAACATTAACATTTTCTCAAATTTTTCGCAGCCATAAAAGGCATCTGTAAGCCTTTTTAGGCCTTTTACAGAACAACATAACAGATTTCACTACCCTTTCATATTCTGACTAGTCCCTACCCTTTCTTACACCTGAAGCCTTAACTCTTTAAGTCCCAATAGTGACCAACATCAATTTTCTCCTAATAATATCCATACACTGTCAAGAGATTAGGTTATGAGAATTAATAAAATGAACACACAAGAGAAAATGCATTGATCTATTATCAAATTCTCTCAACTAATTCTTTAGGAAATGTATGGAGACCAGTTTGGAGAATTTGTATGTGAATACTGTTGCTTAAAGGGTTAAAGGCACACCATTCATACGAAGCCTAACCATAGAGGCCATTATACGAAGAAACCCCCCTTTCCCCAACAGGCTTTTTTATTTATGACTCTGTTGTTTTGTTTTGAAATACAATATAGAAGCATCATAACTGAAGTAAATACATGTACTTATGTTCATTTCTTCACTTGGGATTGTGAAAACAGATTCATCAGAAACATCAGCACTCATACCCCACTGCAATGTTACCTTTTTCTTATGAAGTTTTTTCTAAATAATGCACGTTTTTTTAACGGGTTGGGAATGGGGGTGGCACAGGGGGAGAAGAGAACAAATTTAAGAAATGGTAAACGTGCAGTGTGCAACCATGGAGTTATGGATGCACGCGGGAGGTTGCTAAGCACGAAAGAAGTGTAAGAGTCGCCGAGTGCGGCTCTAGCTTCTTGAGTGCTTACCAAACCTCCCAAGTGCATACATAATTCCATGGTTGCACAGCTGCAACGTTTACCATTTCTTTTATAACATAATCAAAAGAGAAAAACATTATTTTCCATTTGCCGGTTGAGTCATCGGTCCGAGTTCATGTATGTTGCCATCTGCCCACCCCTTTGAGTTGTTCTTTCGCTGAATCAACCGTTCTCCATCTTCAGGTAAATTAAAAAATGTTTTACGTTGTTATTCTGAATGGCATCTGTCTACTTGCTCTTAATATTAGGGTAAAAACTTTGAGGGAAAACTATAGCTGTAACTATAAACACCATCTAAAAGAACTCTGAAAAATAAGCTAAAACTAAATAAATGAAATAATTATCAACCTTATTTATGTGACAATTTTTTAAATAAACGTAAAGTAGAAATGAGAAAATTTGACTGTAATTCCTTAAGAATAACAGGTAGCACTAATTTTAAAAAGAAATTAACTAGCTTTGTATCGAAATCTGTCTGGGGAAATCCAGCTATGAAAGTCAATTAAGCTTCTTCCAGTAGCTAACAGTGTATTAAGGGCTGTTGCAACAAGACTAACCGCATCCTGTATTTGTGCAGGCTCGTCATAGCCATGAGGCAACTGCATTCCAACCATACCTGTGTGATACATGTATTTATTATACAACCACCAATAAAATACCAGAGGCTCGTTTCTCGAAAGACCCGGAAACTTTCCGGGCCCGAAGGCAAATTTTAAAAACAAAACCTGTTGGATAGTAGCACAGTTTCTAGCCCACAAACCATTCAATTTTGCTTTTGCATTGATAGTTTCATTGTATTATTTTGAAAATTTAGATCTTGAATGCAAACACAACAAAAAACAAAACAGCTTTCCGGGCCCAAAAAGTTACCAGGACTTTCGATAAACAGGCCGGGCCCCAGGCGAGCTTTTGCACGAAAATATGACCTGAAATCTTCATGATGAAATGGTCTTAGATAATCGAACTATGAACAAGGAGAACCAAGAACCAGAATGAAATGTAAAAGTAATTTAAATCACTGGAAATGTTGTTTTTTTTTTGTTTGTTTGTTTGTTTTTTTTTTACAGAAAATCAAGTACTGTGTTTCTGGGAAAATTCAATAAGGCATAGAAAACCTAAATGACAGCAACAAAGTCATTTAGTTTGTGGTTTCGTGGCTTGCTCATAAGTCCTGATCTTTGCTGCGATTCGTCTTAAACACATAAAATATCCTAAAGGAATTCAGGTGTACACAGTTTAGTTTGACATGTAATAGATTTGAAACTCATTTGTAATATAAATATCTTATTCCAACTTTTCTACTTCAATCCCAGTCAAAATTTGTTGAAACACTTCTAGAAAACACAACATACACTACCTGATCAGGTTCCATGAATACCGTATGTTTCACTTCCCTCTCCTTTCCCCAATGTTTGTTTGGCGGGTTTGCGCCGACATTTACCTCGTAGAAGACGAAGGAGGCCACAAATCAGCAACTGTTTCAACAATTATGACCAGGATTGTAGTTTCCACAATCTAAGCTATCTACAGGTACACATTCACGTATGTCTAACATCTCACCTTGTGGCACATAATTTCTTGCAACTCCTGAAAATGTTTGTTGTGTCACTAACCAAACATAGCCATTTCCAGTCATCTTCAGATACGATGCATTTTGATACACAACCAAGGCATCTTCATCACTGTTCAAACAGAATAAATAAAAGCCATGAAAAATCTACTTTTTTACTCAAGGGGGAGGGGAGGGTACTCAACAAAGGGAAGGTTCCGCCAAACCCTTACTCTTTTATATACCTTTTTTTTTTTTAAAAAAAAGATGCCCCTTTCTATACACATCCTATTGACTTTGGTATCCCTTTCACATACCTAGTTTAGAACCCTGCATCTCTTTTAAATACTTTAAATGCACTGTGTTTAAAATATGAATACATCACAAACATTAACATTTTCTCAAATTTTTCGCAGCCATAAAAGGCATCTGTAAGCCTTTTTAGGCCTTTTACAGAACAACATAACAGATTTCACTACCCTTTCATATTCTGACTAGTCCCTACCCTTTCTTACACCTGAAGCCTTAACTCTTTAAGTCCCAATAGTGACCAACATCAATTTTCTCCTAATAATATCCATACACTGTCAAGAGATTAGGTTATGAGAATTAATAAAATGAACACACAAGAGAAAATGCATTGATCTATTATCAAATTCTCTCAACTAATTCTTTAGGAAATGTATGGAGACCAGTTTGGAGAATTTGTATGTGAATACTGTTGCTTAAAGGGTTAAAGGCACACCATTCATACGAAGCCTAACCATAGAGGCCATTATACGAAGAAACCCCCCTTTCCCCAACAGGCTTTTTTATTTATGACTCTGTTGTTTTGTTTTGAAATACAATATAGAAGCATCATAACTGAAGTAAATACATGTACTTATGTTCATTTCTTCACTTGGGATTGTGAAAACAGATTCATCAGAAACATCAGCACTCATACCCCACTGCAATGTTACCTTTTTCTTATGAAGTTTTTTCTAAATAATGCACGTTTTTTTAACGGGTTGGGAATGGGGGTGGCACAGGGGGAGAAGAGAACAAATTTAAGAAATGGTAAACGTGCAGTGTGCAACCATGGAGTTATGGATGCACGCGGGAGGTTGCTAAGCACGAAAGAAGTGTAAGAGTCGCCGAGTGCGGCTCTAGCTTCTTGAGTGCTTACCAAACCTCCCAAGTGCATACATAATTCCATGGTTGCACAGCTGCAACGTTTACCATTTCTTTTATAACATAATCAAAAGAGAAAAACATTATTTTCCATTTGCCGGTTGAGTCATCGGTCCGAGTTCATGTATGTTGCCATCTGCCCACCCCTTTGAGTTGTTCTTTCGCTGAATCAACCGTTCTCCATCTTCAGGTAAATTAAAAAATGTTTTACGTTGTTATTCTGAATGGCATCTGTCTACTTGCTCTTAATATTAGGGTAAAAACTTTGAGGGAAAACTATAGCTGTAACTATAAACACCATCTAAAAGAACTCTGAAAAATAAGCTAAAACTAAATAAATGAAATAATTATCAACCTTATTTATGTGACAATTTTTTAAATAAACGTAAAGTAGAAATGAGAAAATTTGACTGTAATTCCTTAAGAATAACAGGTAGCACTAATTTTAAAAAGAAATTAACTAGCTTTGTATCGAAATCTGTCTGGGGAAATCCAGCTATGAAAGTCAAAGTTGCAACTGAAATTTGCCGACACACAGTCGGCGCTGAACCTGTTGTTTTTCAAACGTTCACTGAATGACTGTTATGAATGAACACTGAGGAACAAAATAAATTATACACACAAAAGTTAGTTTTTGAAAAATTTATTTGAAAACCCAAATGTTTCTGTATTCAAATGAAATTTGCTTATTCCAGCGTAATGTGCCCGTTTAAACTCAACTAAAATTTTTAATCAATGCGATGAAAACTTCACAACAAAGCTGTCGCGAATTTTAGTGTGTATCTTAAAATATTTGCTTGAATTTAGCATCAGCTTGACCAAAAAGTCAATAACACAATGCTAATTGATAAATTTACATTTCAAACAGACATTCTCTTCTATAAAAACACACAAAATGTACCTTAGGAACTCAAATGAGTGGAAGATCAATGGTCAGAGAACTATCTAAAGAAACAACAGCTGAAGTATTTTGGCCTTTTGAAAAGAAGTGAGGGCTCATATTGGAGGGAAAGATACATGTAAATGGGAAAAGAGAAAGCGGAAGAGTGAGAATGCAGTGGGAATGGGACAAAGTAAAGGTGCAACCCAAATAATATTAATGACTATAAATATGGGGTGAAAAAAATAGTAATTCTCCTGGGACCTCAATTTCACATTACAGAAACTGGGCTAAGCACTGGCTGTGTGGCCCCTCTTGGCTCAGCCAGTCCTCCACCTTTCCCCTATTCATGGTACAAACCTGGCACTAAACAGGATTACTCTTGACTGGAATTTTTTCAGCTTTGCAAGCTGTGATGTGACATTAAGGCATCCTGTCTGGAACATGACAGTTTTTTCTATCTGCAAGGGAAAAAATAAAGGAATGAAATATTGATCCCAATAAACACAATGTTCACAAAATCACAGTATAAATTCCAGGTTAATATTAATGAAATATCTATACAACTGTGCATATAAAAATTATTCAGGGTTGAAACCTTCCTAAATTATATTTTTATATGCTTTATGGCGTAATTTTACCATTGTTTTAATTCTTATTTTCTATTGGTTATTAGTAAAATCCATCTAGTGGTCTATTATCAATGCTGCATTCTGATTGGTTGAGCTACTACTAGGCTATAATTATGTTATACCCCACTAGTAGTGAAAAGCACCAGCTTTTTGGTGGCAAAAAAGGATTAAAGTCTAGCTTTAAGTAGCTAAGCCTTTTTTATTCTCAATGTTTTTGACCAACTAGTTGGATTTTACTAAAACAATTATTCCTCTCGCCCTCATGGCCTCTGAGTTAATAGCCCATTCAGCCTTTGACGTATGCTTTTCATCACATTTAAAGAAGTGAAGCCCAACTTAGCCGATATGGTATAAACTTGATTGTCTGCGAGTAAAAAGTGTTTTGTTGTAACTGTGATTTTCACTCATTATCTTGAGGCTAATATTATCCAAATTGCTTCTATTTGCTCTTAAAAGTACTTTTGCATTCAACATTCATTGAGTGATGTTTTCTCTGCTCCACCGTTTGTTACTGCCGTTTCCTTCTTCATTGCAATGCGTTGAATTTCAAGTTGGCATTCTTGCTCCAGAGAGGGTTTCAGTGTCAAATCTTCCCTTGCAAGGATTTACAGCCGGTTGTTGAATTTGGCGTTCTTATGTTTGCTGTTCTGTTCCATTTGCATGAGAAATCACTTGAGAATCACCAATAGTAAACATTGAATTTCACACACGATGAATAAACAAGTCAGCTCTTCATGACGAAAACATGTAGTGCATTTTGGTCATTGATGGGAAATTGCTTTCAGTCAAATGTTGCCTAGAAACAAAAAATGCACTGTGACGTCAAACTACTGCATGATGTCATGGCGGACACCATCAGACATATACAAGTATAGACGCTGTGAGTTTGCTGCTCACTCAATGCACGCACGGTCCACACACTGTGCGCATGCTTCACGCACAACAAGATTATAAACTCACTTTGCTCGGAATTATCAGAGTCTCAACAATGCAACTACACATAGGAGTTATTATTAATAGCCTTCCAAATTCACCTTAATGTCATTCTTCTCAGCCAAGCCTGTAAACTTAGTTGCAATCATGCGACTATCCTGGTCATTACTTGTCAGCAAAATAACCTTAGACCAGGCAAATTTCTTCAACAAGCCCAGCCACACATAAGCTTGATCTGAATAGGGTGGAACAGTCCTCAGAAAAGACTCGTGAATAGACTGAAATAGAACATAAAATAAATCCAAAATATTAAGTTATATACCAAGGACTGTGGCCATCCAAAAATGTTATTAAAGTAATTTATAAGTAAATTAAGAAAACAAAGCAGTCAAAATACATATTTTAATTTTCTAATAATAAAGCTATTTTATGCTATGGGATTTTTGTAGCATTATTATGCCAATGCTATAAATAAAATAGCTGTGAAAGTAACATATGTTGGTTTGTGTTTGTTTGTTTGTTTGTTTGTTTTGTATATGACAAACTTGAATGCTAAAAATTGATATTGAAAAACTCCTTAATCAATCAGGTAAGTCACCTACATCTATGGCTTAATTCCTACCACCTCTTCAAACATAATTATGTTATTTTATTATGGTTGTAACTGTTCTTTAAAACTGGCGATAATATTTTTATTCTTTTAGTTAGGGGAAGCAAATACATGTATTACAAAACTACATCAAGACAACTGTTCACTTAATTTTCTAATGTAATATTGTATAACCATAATTCAGTAAAGGAAAGACAATATCCCGTGATGACTTCACCATTTTTGTTTGTACAGAAGTGCACATTTGAAAGCTATTATCAAAAATAGTACTTGAAAAGGAAGGATTGTTAGCTTTGAATTATGTCCCGGCTATTCAACTTCAGCCACATAATTTATTTGTAAAAGCTCACAGAAATCCTCTGTCAATACACTTGGTTTCGCTTAGAATTTTGTTTTCCCGCACATTATTTTTTTGTTTATAGTAGTGACAATATAGAGGTGCAAAGCTGCATAAAAAGATAAATAAAGCTGAATTTCATCAAAAATTATTCACAGTTGTACCATTTCAGAAATTATAATAAAATTTAACACTCAAAACAATTTTCTAGTGATTTCCATCATGAAAATGTGGAGTGATTTTGAAAAAAAGTTATAGCCAGGTTTTGAAACCCTTTTGTCAGGGTGCCTAGATATATCAAAAGCCAAGAAATTCCATCTGGAGTTTTATTTATCATATAGACTTTCTCATATAGAGGCTATTGTACATGTATATGTTTTGGTTCAATTGTTTTTCTTTTTTTTTTTGGAAAATAATTTCTTTTTTTTTTTTTTTGTAACTGTGGGGTATGGTAGGTAATGTTGTATGATAACGGAAGTCTGGAGCTTTATAAACCATGCATGAACAAAATTAGGCAAACTGCAACATACACATGATTACCAAGTACCATATAAGAAGCCACGTAATGAATAAAGTCATCACCTCAGTTTAATAATACAAAATCTACTACACATTACTGTATAAAAAGCTTAGTTCATTGTTTTACATCTCCTTGAAAAACCGAGCATCGAATATGTCCACGGCAAAAACTACTTCTAAGAAAGCCGTTACTAAATTGAAGAAGTGAAGAGGCGAGGCTAACTGTATATCTAGCTTCTACGGAAAGGATAATTACTTCGGCCACATATGATTGCAACTTCTACAAGTAATCACAACGTATTATCAAAACACAGCGTAACGAATTATTTTCTTGTGATGGTCGTCACTCCAATATTGTTCTTCGTTAAATATCAATGTATCATATTTTTGCCATTTCTTACAACCATTTCAAATTAAAAATACAACAATGCTCTTAATCAGAACAAAATACCTTATCTGAGAAGATTGTTTCTCTTGATGAAATCCCGACGACAGGAATCCAGTAGAAACTACAGGCATACGACACAGAAATCGGCGGTGAGAGTTCGTCTTTTGGGTGGCTAACAATCACTACCGCTACTCCATTAGCGATCAATTTTTCGCAGACATCCATTGCCGAACGGATAGGGTTTGGGTTTAAAACGTAGGAGCTTGCATTCAAGATCGCTCCCCTTAAAAGACTGCTTGAATTAGCATTAATTTTATCCACAGCACTCTGGAAGACTTTCTGGTTGTCCAGAGAGGAAAGCATTGCTCCTAAACCAAACGTCGTATTCACAGCGTTTCCACAGTACAGAGAATGAAAAGCCACGAATAAAGACAGACATCTTGCAAACACCGCACGTTCGCTAGCCATTTTCAGTGATTTTACAAAAAGAAGGATATTCCCGTTGCTTTCACAAAAGTCACAACACTTCAGTTTTGGGAAATCAGCCAAGATCTCCAGTGGAGCCAGTACACCTAATTTGGTTTCGTCACATTTCTCATTAACCCTTTCGGTGATGGCGTTTCTTCGGCAGAAATGTCTTCCCCGCTGCTGCTGTTTATTTGAAAATTGTTTTGAATTGGTCTTCCGCATGATTTTACATCTCATTTTGTCATGTTCATCCGCCATTTTGACCGTGAAGCATGGGTCAAGTGAGAGTGCAAGGTACCCTGGGAAAGTTTTCAGACGACCACCTCATTTTTTCCTCGGCATGCTTTTCATCTCTTCTCGCTTTTATTACCTCAGACAATAAATTTTTCAGCTCGCCTTGAGAAAAAAGGGGGGCTGTAAAAACGAGGTTCCATGTACTTTTTAAAGCAACAGAAGTGAATTCCGGTTGTAGCCTGTTAAATTTGTGAACATGCCCTCTTATGCCCCTAACCGTACTCCAGGCAGGTAAAAAAGCTGGAAAGCAACGTTCCTTGGTGGCCTCAAAATAGGCTAAAACCTGAAGCTCAAGTAGGCCAGTTGGTAACTTGGATATGATTCTCGTTTTCGTGAGTGAAGTCCTGAATTCTAGACGCATATGACAATATTGACTTTTCGAGTGAGGAAGTCATCCGCCATGTGTCTGATGACATGACTTCCGCACGAGCTACAAAGAGTGAATTAAATTATGAAAATCGATTTCAGGGAGCCGTGAACAAATGGAGGTAAAAATGTNTTTCGTGAGTGAAGTCCTGAATTCTAGACGCATATGACAATATTGACTTTTCGAGTGAGGAAGTCATCCGCCATGTGTCTGATGACATGACTTCCGCACGAGCTACAAAGAGTGAATTAAATTATGAAAATAGATTTCAGCGAGCCGTGAAGAAATGGAGGTAAAAATGTACTTTTATACCTCGTCCAACCATCAACCATCAAAGATCTCACAGTTAGCCGATCAAGGTAACTCTGCTGAGTGATGTCACGGTACCCTCGAAATAAGAAAGCGCGGTTTTTTGCTACACAAACACGGTGGTGTTTGAAGATGTTTCTGCTCTTTTAAGAGGAAAATGGGCTTCCAATTTATACTGAAGAAAGATGCGAATGTACTCTTTTTTTAAAAAAAACTGATGATGTTTGACATGCTACCCCGGCCATGATCCAAGGGGTGGGAAACTGACGACACTTTATTCTTCTCTAAAGAATATCATTTTGGCGGTGACCCAGAATATGCATGAGTACTGTATTCGACTAAATATCTGGTGTAGGCATACAGTCACATGTTATGTGAATGTTTATATATGTAGAAAGGTTCATCAATGGGATTTGGTCGGATATTCGTTGTCGTTCTCCAAAGTAAAACAGTCACATTTATGTGAATCTCTGATTACCGTAAGAAACTAGGACATTTTCTGTTTATGAGAGTTTATTACTTTAAGATTTTTTCGAGAAAATACAGAGATCGTCATGTAAGAGGGGGTGACGCGTTAGGGTACCTGTTTCGCAGTCTATCAGCCCGTGAAAATTTACTTTTATTTTAACAGTCTTTTTGTCACGGCAGGACACACAACTACTGATCACTGTACGACTGAAAAAACGTTTACCTAGATGATCAGGACCATTGGAATCCACCGCTTGGAAATAAGAAAACATTATTTGTTGTTATCGATAGAAATAGTTTGTAGAAAAATGAAGGATTCTGAGGGGTTGGAGAACTGTACTTTTTGTTTTTATGCTCAGTCGTAGGTCATACATGCGCCACTATTATGCTGATTGAACGTGATCCTCTCATTTTAGCATTAGTCCTGAAGAGGGCTATTGGTGACAAGTGACATGAGGCTATTCGTGACACGTGACTTGACATTTTGACATTTTGATTGACATTTTGACATGTGTGAACAAGTCATCCGCTTTGAGTCTGATGATAT